GTGAGCTGGCGACGCTTCCTGAACCATCGGCGCTCGAGGCATCTGCCGTGATGCCCCGGTGTCCGTCCTGCCCCGCACAGGTGGCGATGACCAGGAACCGGGGTTTGCTGTGATTTTTTTTTTTTGTCTTTTTCTCTGTGCCTGGGTCACCAGGTTGGCGTTCAGAAATAACCACAGGTTCCAGCACCTGCAAGGCCTCTCCAGAGGGCAACCGGAGCAGGACTACCCAAAGCCACTTCTGAAAACGTCGGCCTGCGTCCCCTTGTCTGCCAAATGGCAATTGCAGGGCAGACTTTCCTCCCGCAGTGGGCTGCAGGTTTTCCTAACCTGGGATCCTAGCGAGCCCATTGACCGTGGAGCAGGATGGAACACTCTCGTGGTGCTGCCGGCTCACGCTTCCATCAGATTGGTTTCATCGGCTCAAGTACAAGGTGAACCACTTTATTTCCACCCCCCCCGTAGGGGTGGGTGGGAGCTCTTGGGAAAGCGCGGAAGGATCACAAGTGCCTTCATCTACGAACACCAAGCGCAGGCCAACGCCGCCGACCTCAAGGCGTGCGGTCGTGCCACCGCAGGCAGCTGCCTGGGCTCATTTTCCCACGGATCTGTGCGTGAATCCTAGCGGTGGGCTAAATCTGTCCACAGGCTTGCACTTGATGGGTGTGCTTAATGAATGTGTATGGCCAGTTATATTCCATGGAGATGCTGATCAGCCTCAGCCACTGCCTGATTATCTTTTTCTCTTGATCACTCACCGGTTTTGGTGCTGCTTTCAACAGAAAGGTGCCTTGAGGCACCCGCTCCCCGGTCCCCTTTTCCTCCTCCCGTGCAGCCTCACCTCTGTGCCCAGGAAGATCATGGAACAGATCCTCCTAGAAGCTATGCTGAGGCACATGGAGGCCAGGGAGGTAATTCGAGATAGCCAGCATGGCTTCACCAAGGGCAAGTCCTGCCTGATGAACCTAGTGGCTTTCTATGATGGTGTGACACATCAGTGGACAAGGGAAAACCAACAGATGTCATCTATCTGGACTTCTGCAAAGCCTTTGACACGGTCCCCCACAACATCCTTCTCTCTAAATTGGAGAGCTATGGATTTGATGGGTGGACTGTTTGGTGGATAAGGAACTGGCTGGATGGTCGCGTCCAGAGGGTAGTGGTCAATGGCTCGATGTCCAGATGGACACTGGTGATGACTGTGTCCCTCAGGGGTCCGTGCTGGGACCAGTGCTGGTTAATGTTTTCATCAATGACATGGACAGCGAGATCGAGCGCATCCTCAGCAAGTTTGTGGATGACACCAAGCTGAGTGGTGCGGTTGACACACCAGAAGGATGGGATGGCATCCAGAGAGACCTGGACAGGCTGGAGAGGTGGGGTCATGGGAACCTCATGAGGTTCAACAAGGCCAAGTGCAAGGTCATGCACCTGGGTCGGGGTAACCCC